TAGTAGTAGTAGTAGTAGTAGTAGTAGTAGTAGTAGTAGTAGTAGTAGTAGTAGTAGTAGTAGTAGTAGTAGTAGTAGTAGTAGTAGTAGTAGTATTCTAGTAGTTGTAGTACATTAATAGTGTGTATGTAATATAGATACACCGTACTTTATTAACTTGGGTACGAGCCTCGAAGGCACTTGGGTATTGGGTACAAATTCTGTACTCAAGTGCCAGGTCTAGTCCCTGATAACCAGCCATGCAGAGCGGGGAATACCATCGTTCAAGACCTCAAAAATAACGCCGATATACGTGTACACATCAGTTGTGACTACCTCGCTGGAGTTCAATTTAGCAACCCATAGCTTACTCAGGGTGCTGTAAACGGCGGGAGGGGCAAGGCGAGTAGATTAAAAATTATCAATCCAATAAAACTTCGGAAATTGTGATCAGTATCTTTCGCGTCCTCATCACTGACATAATAACGTCTCCCGACTCCAGAATGCACGTGTCCTAGACGACCACTCTTCTGCTTCGTCTGTCCTGTTGTGAGGTTGGCTAAAGCTACATCATGTACCATTGTGGGAGACGTCGTGTTTATTCCTGTATTTGTCTTTTTAAAGTCAAGCGTGCAACGTGCAATGTGCAACTTGCAACAGAGCCATTTTCTTGCGATGACTCTGACTTTAATCTATGAGGTTTTCTCTGGGCGAGTTCGGCGGGGTTTCCGAAATTATCTCTTTAATATCTAGAGCGAAACGCAAGGTTGCTAACTAATCATAGCCCCTGGGATCCCCAGAGGTATATAGAAACTAGTCGACGCAGGGCTGGGTATTGTTGTTGTCAACAGTAGCCAGGGACACAGCACATACCAGATTTCGATGATCAAACACATCAAGCAAACGTTCCCACAGCTTCATGTAATCGCAGGCAAAATCATCACTCGGGACTCGGGAGCAGGCCCCAGCATTGTAAGCAAAGATGGAGAAACATCAAAGTTTTGGTTATAACTAGAAAAAAGAAGAAAAAAAAGTAAAATAAAACTAGTTAATTATCTTTTCAATGTCTACTAACTCCCACATAGCAGTATATATTAGAGCGAGCTACATCAAAATTTTGAAGCAAATAAATTCATTATGATCATTTTCATTTTCCTTTCCTTTCCCTTTCTATTCTGTTCATGTTAAAAATTTGCCCTGCAACCGCACCCGTATTCGAATTCAACCTCTGCAGATGCTGTTTTCTATGACGCCATACGCTCGACACGAAGCTGCAGTTCCTTGACCATATCAACCCCAACTTGGGTAGCCTCATCCAGGCTCTCCTCCGGCAGACCAAGCGGCTCATTCTGTGCCTTGGCCGAGCAATCACCCGGATCATCTGGGAAGAACGCCCTTGCGTAGAGCAGCTTACCAAAGCCAGCCATGTTACCAGTCTTAACCATCGCCAGGCCATCTGCGTATCGCTTCTTACTATCCTCATGAGTAATCGTCCAGTCAGCGTCACTAGTGCCTGTGACGCGCTTGACGCTCTCAAACATCTCGGTTTGGTTGATCACAAAGCTCTTGATATACACAGGCTTGTTAAGCCACCCCGACACAGTAAGGCTCTTGTCGTTTTCGTCCTCAGGAAGCTCCTTGAAACTCAGCACTTTGGCCACAGCGCGCCCAACCTGCGACAAGGTTGATACCGAGTTCTTGGTGTCGCCGTTGTCATAGATCGTCAGAGACCGCTTGTCAAAGTCGAACCCGAAGCGCGCCTCACCGCCCGCTAGGCTGTAATCGTACCAGAACCCACAGCACACGGTGATCCACTGCATACCGAGGCTCTCAATCTCGTCCCTGGCAGCCTTGGCAACGGGCCCGAGCATGATATCCTCTCCGAGTTTAGTGTGTTCAATGTCGCCAGCGTACCCGTTAGGCATGATGTAGGGAACACCAGCCTTGGCGGCCGCCTGGACGAGCTTGCTGTGGGTGTCATGGGGCGCAGTGGGTGATACTGTGATGATGAAGAATTGTTGGCCCTTGAGGGCAGTGACAATAGTGGCCTCGTCGGAATAGTCAACTGGGGCGACGAGGACGCCCTCGGGGAGTTTGTTACTGCTATCTTTGCGGGAGAGGGCCGTAACCGTGTGTTTTCCAGTTTTAAGGAGAGCGGCGACGAGGTGGGACCCAACAGTGCCTCCGGCCTAAGGGCGTTTGTTAGTTGTTGTGTATGTAGCGCTGCTGGAGGGATACGCCTACACCGACAATGGCGACTCTCTCAACGGCGTTTTTGAAGCCGGTGGGCTGGTTCTTGGCGTACTCGGGCATTTTGGCTCTTGTTGAAAATTGTCTATTGAATTGATGGTTCAATGTGTATTGATTGTTGTGATTGTGGTCAAGAGTGGTGGTTGAGGCGTGGTAGCTCTTGTAGCTCTTGTAGCTGTTTGCCGTTTGAGCTTGTGGGTGCCTGGCTAATCTTCCAAGGAGCAGAGAATGCCTGTCCATTTATACACTTCAGACCCAGTCTCGACACCACTGCAGAGCCAAACTTTGTTGCCATTCTCTCCATCTCAGCCTAGTCACACCGATCGGATTGGGCAATTCCGAAACGCTAATTCCGCGCAGCTATATATTCTCCAGGCAGCTCGTATGTCGGGATTGATTTGGCCAGACCTTCAAACTTGATTCGCGCAGTGATACTGGCGGCCCTGAACCCGCGGGTCAGGTCAACCCACTATGAGTCGGACAACACGTGCATAACCGTCACCGTCGCAGCTGCAGTTCTGGGCCGCTCCAGAATAGCCGCGGCAACTGCGGCGAGCATTAGCATCAAAGGTACTGAAACCCTTGTCAAAGTGCCAAGCCCCCTAATGACGGAGATATCGTCGGGGTTACGGATGATCATCCCGCACATCTCGGCCGCAGCAGCCGCACATTGGGGGCTAACACTGGGACAGCGGCCTGACTAACTCCGCTCCGCACCAACATTGAAGCGGCGTTAAGTCACCATAGCTGATCTTTTTCCACTCCCGACTAACAGACCTCCGTGCATACTTCCGGTCAAGATGATCCGGTTGATCACGATGTGGAGAAAGAAGAGCTTTATTGATTTGTGCAGGGACTCAGCCTCGAACCTCACGGAGCACGAATCGAATAAATATACTCCGTGGTAGCTCGTTGGCATATAGATAGATCCAAGGCACAAAGTCGACAGCACCATCATCATACCGGCTGATCAAAGCCCATACTACATGTCCTTCCCCGCCGGCACCATAATCCTGAGTCGAGCTATGCCGCGGGAGCATCAGGGTGTCGCCGCGTCGCTGGTCAATACCTTTATCAACTACTCTATCTCCATTGGGCTCGGGTTTGCCGGCACGGTCGAGGGGCAGGTAAATAATGGAGGGAAAGATGTTCTACAAGGATACCGGGGCGCATTGTACATGGGTGTCGGTCTCTCTGGCTTGGGTGTAGCTGTGGCTCTGTTTTTCTGTTTTGTGGAGCGGCATCAGTCCAAGGCACCAGAAAAGGTGGAGCAGGAAAAGAGCGAAACGCAGGAAGAATTTGTTTAGATGTCTTCAATGGCAAGTTTACATAAATGCAATACTGGATTTCATTATAGACTATTCTAGAGTGCCACGCCATGTTTTGATGAGTTGAATCGCCGCTGAGTGTATCATTTTATAACGCCCCCATGCGCTACTACAGCTGGATGTCGGGACCGAAAATCGATAGATATGGCTCGATGAGAAGCCTGATCCCAGTCCATACCCCAGCCAATGTCCGGAAAAGCGGCGTTGGCCTCCGGTTCCGGCTGCGCCTGGGAGGGTTCGTAGTCCGATTTCACAGCTTCCAGCTGTATAAGCCCCTTTCGCTTCTTTGCTATATTGACGCTGAGAAGATGCCGCGCTATTGACAATGCCTGACGGGTCAATCCTGTGTCCATTGCCCTGACAAGATTTTCCAACCCCTTGAAGGCAGCAGGGATGTGAGCGGAGGAGGCCGGCGTGTCGATGGCCAACAAGACACAGACACACTGGAAGACGCTGCCTATGACGTTCCAGAATAGACGGCCCTGGTTGGCTAGCTGCTCAGCCGCTCTCACTGCGTCATTCCCGCTATCAATGACGAGTTGAATTATCTCATCCATTATGCCTGTCTTGAGCTCCGAGTTGGAGGCTGACATTCGAGCTGGAACGGCGAGTTAGGCGACGGGATGATCTGGACTATTTGCACGAACTGGTCGGCAACGGACCCCAGTATCGGGATGATAGCCTGACAAGTCACGGCCCCAAATGTTACAGCCGAACGATCGTACTCATACGACAGCATATGATGCCCAGCCCACGAGATCCAGAAAATTCGCCTTAGCCAGTCCGCATCATGCCCAACAACAGCAGCGCCGGCGACAGACGCCATCCTTTTGATGTTCTCTTCTTCGTGTAACCCGACCACTTCGCAAAGGTGCATAAGAGTGCACGACGCGACCCAAGCATTACTAGGGCGGGTTGTGGCCCGTAGATAAAATAACCGCATGCCCCACGCGACGATATGATCGATGCTCAGCATGCGTATGGATCCAGGATTATCGAGAATAGCTTTAGCGTACTGCAGCAGATCAGACTCCCGCGGGTATCTGGTTGTGGAGAGGAACGACCCGAAAGCAGCGACGCCAGCGGCTACAGCGCTAAAGGCGACCGTGTTGCTGCCGGAGCCATGATAATAATTGCGACATCGCTGGGCGTAAATTCTTGGGTCCATATAGTCGCCGATAGGGCCCATTGCAGAGAAGTACACATTTGAGTAGAAGGCGAGGTTGTCTTCCGAAATTAGTTTCCCTAGGAAGCCATACGCGTTGGAAGCCTCTTCAGGGCGGATCCCAAAGTTGTACGCGAACGAGTTGATCTTGGGAGGGCTGTCGGAGCCAAGAGCCACACCTAGGATGTGCGGGAAGGCCATGGCTGCCGATGCTCCAGTGTATCTGGACTTCTGCTCGTCGAAGATGCCGGTCCCACGGCAGGACTCTTTGACGATGAACTGTCAGCTCCGGCAGCTCTCGCTACCTGAGGAGGCATGGTCACGAGGCCTGAAGGCCTCCATGCTCACACTGGATGTGCAAGGCGCCTTTGACGCTGTCCTATCAGGTGTGACGGCTCAACGCCAGACAAACAGCGCCAACATATCAAACGATGCCATACAAGCAATATGGGCAAACAAGGGCTTAAGCCGCACCACACAAATGTCTATAAAGACCGTTCACCGCCTCGATAGATTTCCTTTTCTTCTTCTTCCCCAGATTCGATATTCTCGTCGTTAGGCTACCTAGTCTAGATATGAATATTATTCGTTTTATCTGCTAGTTTCCGAGCCCGTGACAATTCTTGTCACGGAGCTCAGCTGGGATAATGGAACATCAACACATGTGTTCTACCTAGGTAGCTATCGACGAGAATAATCAACATGAAAGAAGAAGTACTCAGTGATCAGCTCAGGTCTACGCAGTGAACATAAGGTGGAGAGGGGTGAGCACCAAAACGGAAAGGGCAAGCCTTCGAGCTGTCTAGAAAATCAAGTACATATGCAAACCTCATGGTAAGGCATCTTCCGAGCATCATTCCCGGTTAGCTAAATACCATACTGACTTGACAGTTATCACAAAACACTAAACAGGCCCCGGTTGGGTGGTTGGGACAGGCCTGGGAAACCAATTATCAGAAAGAAGAGAAAAAAAAAAAAAAAAAAAAACAAAAAAAGGCAGATAAAAACCAGTTAAAAGAATAGAAAAGAAACAGGCCTCGGTTGGATGGTAGGGATGGGCCTGGGGAAAAAAACAAGCAAGGGCCGCATTGAGGTAAGTATCGAAGCCTGTCAATGCTATATTTCCTTCTACTGACTTTGTATAGTATCCTAGATACTCAACAGGCCCTGGTAGGGTGGCAGGGATGGGCCTGGGGGGAAGACGGCCGAGTCTTCCCCGTTTCGATATATGTCGTCGAATCAATTGAACCAGTGTGGTCATATTCAGTATGTATCTAGCGATGCTTCCCCTTCCCCCGAAAGGCTTAACTATGAAACTAACCGGTCTAACAGATACTCGACAACAGGCCCGTGGTTGGGCGACTACCGAGCCCTCCTGATTTGACACGACGCTGTCAGCTCTTCCAATATATCTATAACGAACATACACAACAAGAGACGCGAGACGGGCCTGGAGTGCATAAAGAGGACTAAAACTTCGAGAAGTGGGGAGAACTGTAGAGTCCTCGCCGTTCTATATCGACACGCCTGTAATCTCAGAAAACCATTGTCTTCTAGATATCACTATCTCCGCCTTTCCCCTGTACAATAGAAAAAATAAAACATCTGGGCCCTTGAACCGTTGTACGGTCCCACAAAGCAGGTCGAACAAATCACTCATCGTAATTCTCGACGTCCTCGACATACTCCCCCTTCCCAATCGACTCCAACCACCCCGTCAACTGCCGTTCCCCCACATCATGCCACGCCCCCGGACGAAGATAACCGCAGACTCTAACGAAAACGACAAAGTCACAGTCCTCCAGAAACATCGTAGTCGTGGCCGCCCTCTCATTCTCATATTTCTCCTCCAGTTTCTTCACCTTGTCAAGATCGAGAGACGGCTCATGCCATAATATCCACTTATCCTCCCCCGGAACCAGAATACTAATACAATCCGTATTCGCATCCATCCCCGGAACAGCAGTCACAACATCCTCCATCCGCAAACAACCACCATCCGCCTTCGTGAACTTAAACCGCCGGTACCGCGGCTTTCCCCAAAACTGCGAGTACTCAATAACACAAATCGTCGAGGTAGGTGGCTGTTGAAAGACCATCCGTCGCCAACTCGCCTCGGGTCTGGTCAATGCATCGTTGTGGCTCTGTAGAAACTGTGATTGCCAGAGATAGTCTTCGACGAGAGAATTGCGAACACGGTCTTCGGATCCATATGGCAGCTGATGGCGGACTGGCTTGAAGAACAGGGCTTCTTGGAGAGCGCTTGAGGTGCTTATGAGGGCGTGGAATTTCTTGCAGACTCGTTGAGATAGGAGGAGGGTGTGTAGGTCGATGGAGAGGAGGATTGATTCGAAGATTTCGGGGATGGAGAAGATTGCGTGAGGCATTTTAGGGGGTTATTCTGGTAGGATAGAAGTTAGTTGTTTATGGTATGACATCGTCATTTGTCCTCAAAGCAACTAACCTGAAAAACAAACAAACAAACAAATCAAACGACTCTGCTAGCGACCTGGACCTGGACCTCTGGCTTTTTCTAATAGTGGTAGATGAGAGTCCTTAGAAGCATGGTTCAACGCCTTGAAATAGACCTGATGAGCGTGGTATGAAAAGAGATGAGATCAGGATGTACTCGACGGTCAGTCGATGGAATGGAGATAAAGAGAAGTTGGAAACGAAACACCTTTCTGCCACTTTATTCCACCTTAGCCACAGTGAACTCTGTCAATGTAAAAACGTTATATTTGGTAGAGTATTTTCATTCTTGTTTATTCTACAGCCAGTACATATATCGAGAGATAATTCCGTAATTTCGCAAAGACCAAAGCACTGCAAGAGGAGGTTCTCATCGACAAGACCTGCTATCTCATCCTTACAATAGAGAATGTGAGATCCTCGTGGCATGACCTGCCCATGAAGTATAGATAGCGTAAGCGGCATTTTGACCAGGAGGACTTTGTTTCTTGTGCTCAACCGTGGCGAGCTCAAGGTATGCCCAAGGGCTACAGCACAAAATGTGCTTCCTTGCAGCTCGTTCATTATATTCATCGCCTGGTTATTACCATACCACGAGCCTGTGTGACGACAATAAACTCGCAATTTTGCAACAAGACCTCACTATCCGCTCGTATGGCCGTGTCCCCCAATATCTTTCCACCAGCTCCTTCATGTCAACAGGGCACAGAGGCCACTCACCCAAAAGAACCATCTATCTTATCCAGGGTAAGGAGTATTAAGAAACGTTGTCTTGGGCATTCTTCAAAAGCGTGAACAGAAGTTGTGTCTTCAGGTCTAGGAATTCAAAGTCCTGGAACTTCAGACGTCCCCCCAGCCCCCTTGGTGATCGATGATGCAGATAATAGACGTCGGGGGTTGCTATACCATCCCCCTCTAACTTGCTGCCAGTCGCGTGTAAACATTGCTGAGTACTTAAGAATTGTAGCCAGGTTTCTCCTTCTAGAACCGGTCTAATAATAAAAACCACAAGCTGATGCACTTGTCCGTAAGTAAGATATCTGCCAAAAACCGGCTCAATAAAGAGAACGTTCTGCATGCATATTGGGACGCCATGCCACCGGGGTACCCTCTGCGAAAGTAAGAGTGTCTTCAGATCTGCCTGTCTCTAGTAGTATGCCCTCTAGTAGCTCGAAAATGCGGAAGATTCGATGGTCCACTGGAGGAAAGTCAGTTGTTTGTTCGCTATGACATCTTTATATGCCACTTGTAGGAAACTAACTTGTGGGCACAGTCATCCTCGTTTGAAAGTCCAGAAGCACTATAATCACTGCAAGGGCTATAGATGAAGCAATCAGGAAATAATATTCTAATTCTTCCACGATACTCGATTATGCTTGAAGATGAGATATTATAGTCAACGATGGCTAAGTTGGAGGGAGTTGAGAAAGTTGAGTCAAGAGAAGAAGAAATCACCTTTCTGTCAGTCACTCTGGGACCTAAACCAGTGACCAGTGAATGTTGCGAGTTAGAAGAGTGATGTACATTGCTTTTGCAGGAGATCAGTTTTATCCTGATTAGACGGGACTAGATCCATTGGTTATAGTACACAGGCAAAATTATAGATATCAATGCAAAAATACTGAGAGAAGAGAAGAGAAAGTAATTATAAGAAAAGGAAGTAAGAAGGGAAAAGAAAAACTAAATTACCATCCATAGTAACAAAGATATAACCGTAAACACATACACAATCATCCCAACCGAAGCTCATGCAATCCCAAAATCAAACCAAATCAGTCATTAAAGAAACGAAACGAAGAGAGGAGAGAATGCGAAAAAAAAAAAAAATCACCCCCATAAAGGCGGGTGAATGTACTCCGCCGCTCGATCTAAAATATTCGGTATCGTCCACTCCCCACTCGTCGAGCTCTCCGGCGTCGGTGGCGGCAGCGACCCCATCCCCGAAACAGGCGGCATAAACCCACCCATAGCCGTCGTCGTCGTCCCAGCATTTGGATTCAGATACGCTGTTGCCGCAGCGGTGGTAGGGGTACCCGTAGCATCAGCGTACCGACCAGGACCGCCCTGGTTGGCAAATGCCGCTTCAAGCTTTTCCAGTGCACGAAGGGTCTTTGTAAGAGGCTTGGCCCATTGTGTTTGCGTGTCTGCGGCCACTGCTGCGGGGACGGGAGAGGTGGCATTTAGGGCGCCCGGGCTGGCGGCGGTTGTGTTGGTGGTTCCCGGGATTGTGTTGAAGACGGTGTTGCGGTCTGGTTGTTGTATCGGGGTGGTACCGGGGATCGGGGATGTCATGGGGTTGCCTCCTCCTCCTGCTGCTGCTGCTGCTGCTGCTGCTGTTGCGGCGGCTGCGGCGGAGGGGTCGCCTGATTCGTAGACAGATTCGTTGCTAGCTCGTTCGGCGATGATGAGTTTGAGTTGTTGGAGGAGGGTCCAGAATTGTGTGTCTGTCTTGGATTCTTCGATGACGGCAAGGAGGAAGATGCAGCTGATGGCTCGTTGTAGTGTAATCCATGATCGGGACGCGTGTGAGCTGATTGAATGCATTTCGACGTACGCCTCGACCGTCTTCATCAAGTTGCTGATGCAGTCAGCTCGCATTTCGGAGATGATTGGATCCGCCGTGTCGGGTGGTGGCTTGAGCGCTGGCCTGCAGAGCTCGGAGGTAAAGTACGACGCATGCAGCTTTAGTACGACCCGTTCCAAATGCTCCGTCGCTGTAAGACAGTACTTGCGGTCGCGCAGACCTGGTTTGGCTTCGATCATGATTTTCTGGATTCTTTCCTTGTAGCCTTGGATGGTTTTTGGTGTCATTTGTGAGTGGGGGCTGAGCATTCGGCTACGGACGACTTCCAAAGCGAGTGCGATAATTCGGCAGAGCGTTTCGAAATACGACAGTTCACTCAGTTGCGAATTTTCCCGATATGCGATGTCGGGCTGGCTGACTGCTGTTGTAGACGGTCGGTCATAGGAGAGCGAGAAATGGCTATCTTGCCATGCCATGGACCACCAAACGTGTCTTCTCCGGTATCGTTCAGCCGGTAAAAAGCGACTCGATTCGACGTGTAAACCAAGCACCAGTCCCATACGTAGTGTCATACCTGTGAGAGTTAGTGGCGTTTTGCAGGCTTAATTTCAAGTACCAACTTACCAAGAAGCACGTAGGAAATTCCAGGGTTCATATTATATGACAGAACATTGCCAATAATCAAAAGCGTTTGTATGGCTTCAATCGAAGGCTGTGACAGGAAGTTTGTCATCCGCAGGCATTGGTAGGAACAGCACACTAAGTTTGGTAAGCATAATACTGCATTTCAAAACAAGTAAAGACATACCATATACTTGAGAAGTCAATTCTCTCTCTTTACTAGGGAGATCAGACGATTGGCAGCCCGACGCAAGCACAGCGAATAATAGACCTAGGAATGCGATGGTCACGCCAAAAGGCCTCTGTGCTTGAACAGGATCCGCTCGATACATCCCTCCTGTAGATGCTCTACTTTGCAGAAGCAGGTCGAGGATTCTTTCAAACTGACGGACATCTTCGAGGACGGGATAAATGGCGCCAGCAATGTCTCGGTAGTAAAAGAAGAATCTGCATCCGTTAGAAACCGTCCCGCGCACACATTCGAGGAAAGAGCTCACTCCTTGCACTGCTGGTCACTTGGAAGCGCGCTGCAAACTGCGCTAATATCAAATGTAGACATATCCGACGACCACAAGTCCACAAACGGGTATGTAGCAGACTCATTATCAAGACCCAACTTGGGCAAAATCCCTCCTTCCAACAAAGTATGCAACTGGTCCGACCCAGACTTATTATTCAAAATATATGCCAGGACCGATCTCGATCCCAAATGAACAGTCCCTTCACCCAACGTATTCGCCGCATGAATACCCTCACGCTCCGGCGAAGCACCTTTCGACCGGGTACTCGCATCGCCACTCTGCACACTCCCCGTCTCCATTATCGACCCATTCCCTTCCTCCGCCCTATCCAACCCAACCCGCAAAGTCGTAATCGTCTTCTCCATCTCCCTCAACCGACTGCGAACATTATCCCACTCATCGCGCGCAATAGACACCCGACCGTTCCCGTTCCCGTTCCCCGCCGTCGCCGCCGCAGCCGCAGCCGCAGCGGAAACCGCGGCATTCCCTCGACTCGACAACCCCGGCTCCTGCTTCACCCGGATCGAAGGAGCACCACCATCCTCAACCGCAGATGTAGGCCCAGCGACAGGACTATTCCGAAATGTCTGCGGCGCAGCGCTGCTGGTAGCTGCTGTTGATGTTGGCGCAGCGGCGGTGCGCTTCTTCACGGGCCGTTCGTACGAGCACAGGTCTGCGTGGTCGCGCTTGACGCAGCCATCACACGGGAGGTTCCGGTCGCATTTGACTTTCCGCGCATGGCATGGGTAGCAGGCTTTCGGTTCACGCGCTTTTCGCTTCGTGCGAATGATAGCGTCGACTTGGGATTGCGGGAGTTCGGAGACGGAGCGGGATGGGCCAGCCGCCATGTCGGAGGTGGTGGCAGGGGAGTACGACATGGAGGGCTGGTATGGTGATGCCATGTGAATTATCTTGTATTAAACTGTATATATGGAATAGAGTAGCTTAAATTTTCTCGAATGGCGCCCCTTATTTTGTTTCAACTCGTTGCTCGGCTCGGGTGTGCGCAATGGCGATGGATGACCGAAGATGTTTCGACGGACGGGATGCGGAAGAAAATGCGGAAATAAAAATCGATAAACAAACTGCAGTCTGTTATTATGGTTATTGTTGATCCATCTCAATTAAGCACCCCTAGTACTGCAACTGCTGCTTTCGCGAAAACGGAATAATTGATCTCTCCCCGGGTCTTGCGCTAATGTCCGTTGGGCGCGACGTCAAGCTTTGGTCGTTACTAAGCTGCCCGGCGTCACGTGGCGATGGGCGGGGCTACATCCACAATAGGAAACCCTAGCCCTATTCTGCATATCCTTTTGTGTACGAAATATACGGATTGTGTCTGGTGGGAGATTGAAAATTTGGGTAGAATATTGTATATTACTCATTGGCTCAATACCAACATTTCATGGGCTTGTGTTATCGGCATAATTAGGCTAAGCTGATCTAACGTCAGATCCATAAGGGATGTACTCGGAGTACTCAGTAAACCAAATGCTTTTGAACTTCAGATATTATGACAATGAACTATAAAATTGACTAACTACCATTAAATCTATATCTATTGTTTATAAGTAAAATCTGTACAGGGTATCTCCTCAAATCGCCCCGTAACCATCACAAAACGCCAACGTCTTTCTTGAAAATCATGCAACATGAATCATGAAAAATCAAACGAAGTAGTGTATCCCAAACCCCAAAAGCCCGGATGGGCCTTGAAAAAAATTATTATAAGAGTATCTCGACAAGCACTTAGTGCTTCTCGGGGCCCTGCTGCTCCTCATCGTCGGCAAAGGCGTATCTGGAGTACCGACGGATCGCCTCTCCCTTAAAGTAGAAAACGTAGGGGATGGCACAGCAAGCCAACGCGAGGAAGGCAAGGAATGAACTGGCCCATTGGTAACCCATGCGCCCGTACATCTGCTCAGTGAACAGAACAACACTAGCACCCCACATGGACCGGAGGAAGGTCTTTGCGGCAAGGGCAGATGCTGCTTGGTGCTGATAGGTGTCGACTGCAACAATGTTAGCGCTCTGAGTTTTTATAACCATTATTGAATAAAAAAGGAAACATACCAAGGTAGTTATTTGCCGAGTTGTACAAGAAGATGAAACCGAACCCGACTGGCCAACCTCCAATGGCAGGTCCAAACCAATGAATATTGGGATAAGATGTCCAGGCAAAGATGAACAGCCCGATTGGGATGAGCCAGCACGAAAGCATCATGGGAATCAATCGCTTTTCGGCAGGGGGCTTTCCGTTGTACTGTGCGGAGACGTGGAGATAATGCTTGTTGACAAAGGGAGCACACATGGCACTCATAACGACTCCGATGGCGAGGGGAATAAACATCAAACCAGTGGATCCGGCACTCCATCCTTTACCTTCTTGATAAACGATAGGATAGCTAGATTCAAATGGTTAGGACCATGTCAAAGGTAAAAAGTAGACGGGGGCCACTTACGCAACGAAGAACATGTACAACAAACCATACAGAACAGACATGTAGATGGCAATGAACAAGACGATGGGCTCCAGGAACAGAAGCTGGAAGGGTCGGAAAAAGACAATCTGCAGCTTCTCCTTCATAGGCAGGGCATTGAGCTCTCCTTCAGTGACGTACGTCGGGTCGTTTTCGGCTTTCCGCAGCTTCTTTGCTCGTCGCTTGAGAATTATGGGTGCGTAGGTTTCGGGAACGGTGAAGGTGATTAAGAACCAAGCCACACCAGCCAGGATCAACTGCAGCCAGTAAAGCCATCTCCAGCCGCTAGCATCACCCAGAAAACCACCAACAAGCGGGCCAATTGCAGGTCCAAGGAATGGAGCTGCTGAGAAAGCAGCCATGGGCACACCTCTTTCCTCGTTTCTCCAGAGATCGGCAAGTGTGCCACCAACCAAGGTCATTGGAGCGCTAAAGGCAATACCATCGATCGCTCTGCAGACGATAAGAGTGCCAATGTTCTGGGCCACTGCGCAAGGAATGACGAAGATAACTGCAACAAATAACGTGACCCCGTAGACCAGTTGGCGTCCCACCATTTCTGACATCGGAGCAAATACCATGGGACCTTGAATGGGTTAGCTTGGAGTCCTGACAAGGGGAGATTGGAGAGAAAACATACCAACACCAAATCCAATGACAAATACAGTGACGGTAAGAAGCGCAACCTCACGAGAGACATTGAACGACTCCATCACACCCGGGAAGTCGGCCGTGACAACACTACTGGCTAAAGCGACGACGAAGCACGTAAACGCAACAACCATTGTGATGTACCACTTGAACAATTTGGACCAGTTCTTCGGGTTGTCTGGGTCGTCCTCCTTGAAGGTCACAAGCTTGTAATCTTCCATCCCCCCATCGTTGGTTGGAACACGTTTGGGGATTTTCCCAGAAGCGGTTTCTCTGGTGTATTCTTCGAGGTTCGCGTTTTCGTTCAATTCACGGAGGGGTAGATCGACTGGGCCCAACGGGCCAGTCCCGTCAGCAACAGAGACGGTCCGGCTCGAGGCGTTATGAGAGTATTCGTCCTGCATCTTGTCGTTGTGGAGAAATACACACGTTTTGTTGGACTGGCTGTAGCGTCTGCAGTCCCCAGAAGAGGGGATAACAGATGGTTTTTATAGGCCATGGCGCCGTAAACCACATTTCAGGTCAGGATCCAAGGTCAGGGCAAGTGTCAATTAAGATTCCCTTTTTGGTATGATCCCGGCCCGCGTCTCCGTCGGCCCTATTTCGGTTTCCCGATATGGAATAGATACGCTAACCTGATCGGGTAACATGTCACGACGGGCTGCTTATCGGGACTTCAACAGTCCATGTAAGGTCATATTTTTGTGTTGCTTTTCACAAAAAAGGAGAATGGTAGTGATAAAAAGGGATTCATTCTTTCCTGGGCAAAGTATATGGGAAAATATTGGTGCCATCTATGTCAGGCCATACAAGGACACCCACTGGCACATGGAAGATGCTACTGCATACGGCATGTTCCGTGAAAAATTGATCAAAATTGGATCAAATGGAGATAAATTTTTGGTGGGTCACAAGTCTATCTACTATGGCCTTACGGGTGGTTCCATGTTCCATGTGGCTCGACAGGCGTTACAGTTCTGAATTCCGCTCACAGAGTTTATTTCATACTCGGTGCCATCTTAGAACCGACGCCCTTCATACATATTAAATTGATTCCACTCATGAAGTAGGTCCAGGCTTGCCGGTTGTCGACACTCATGTTAATCTTTGCAGCCGATGCTTTGGCCTTTATGTGGCGATGTATAAATGAACGTATCCAGCAACAGCAGTCTTCCCAATGTAAGTGAAGTTTAGGGGGAGGGTCCGGGGGGGGGGTCGTGACCTGCAGATCATTTTGCGCAAATATCAGTTTCTGCTCCATGCAGCACGCCGGACTCCTGAGCATGGAGTATGTATGCTAAAGTCGGATCATATTACCTTATCGGGATGGGATCTATACATTCCTTTTCGGGAAACAAGCTGTTTGCCATGTGCCAAGTGCTCTGCAAATTAATATCAGAATCCTGCACTCTGTCCCATAGTTCTCGTTGGTCTCCTTTTTTAGGCTCTACTCGAGCGCTCCACTATCAATCGTTTACTTTATGCGTTCAGGATGGACTCCGTGCATGCGCCGAGTTTCCATCTTGCCAAGTCCTTCCAGACACGAGCTGGGTATTCCATGGCGTATGTGCCGTTTGCTGCTCTCTTTCTCTTATTACTTCGTTCTATGTTAGGGGAGGGGCCCACTTTCATCGATTGTCTGTCGTGGAACCCAAGGTTAAACGCGGCTAAAGCACGGAGTAGTGCTTTAAATGTACACCGTATGTAGAGTACGGGCCATATTCCGTGAATTGGCATGTCAGTGTCGTGTGCAAACTATCTTCAGATCAAAAGCCAAATCAAGAGTCCATGTTCCGCTAATTCTTCCCATAGTAATGCCGGAAATATATATTCACGAATGGCACCATATCTTGACCATATATTGACCGTGCTCACCTGACACTTCTTCAGCACAACCTCCGAATGGCTCAACAATGCTTACTGTATCCATTCCACAAATAGAAACATGGCAAATAAGCATACTGTCAACCCATCGTCATTCTTCGACCCAAAAGGGTAATCGAAGGCAAACGGTAAAAAGGTTTGTCCGGTGAAAAGAATCACGTGTCTGATAAGATAAGCCGGAAGCGGGATAGCGCGGGGCTTCGAGTGGCCGCGAAATTTTGACCTTCACTTTGCCTGGACATTGTCAACGCCTACGGTGCTTGTCTTGTGGCAGTTAATATTGTGCTCAAGACACGCCGTCTTCTTATCTATCAGCACCGGGTCACTTGATTGATTTGTTTCGTTCTCGAGCCGACCCCTCCCTCTCAATTCTCGATACCCCCCGTCGGACGTCTGATCGCCGCCGGAGAAAAAAAGTCGAAAAAAAGAGACAGGCCTTCGTGCGCCTTCACGATGGCTGCTACATCTAGTAACGACGCATTCCTGGCCCTTCCGGGCTCGGTCGCCTTCTCTCGCTCTCGGGGCCGTGCGGTTGCAGCAAGCATTGGTGCCCGTGAGGTCCGGACTCAGTGGGTTCACTATGTCCATGCTTCGCAGCCGTTAGACGAACGCCAGAAGAACACCTTGGATCAGCTCCTCCGCTACGGTGACATTACGGATATCCCAGAGACCTTCAGCGCCGAAGAGGGTCCTTTCGACGTTTTCTACATTTTCCCCCGGACGGGCACCATTTCCCCATGGAGTTCGCAAGCCACCGCTATCGCCCATGTCTGTGGTTTGCGCAACACTGTCAACCGCATTGAACGGGGTATGAAGATCTCGTGCTTGCGTGCTGACTCCGGGGAGTTCAAGTCTGGATACCAGGATGTTTTGCACGACCGGATGACACAGATTATCAGTCAGGATGAGCCCGATCTACAGCAGATGTTCTCCGAACAAGCTCGCCAGCCCCTCCAAACAATCCAGCTCCACGGAAGCGACAAGTCCCCCAAGGAAGTTCTACAGGAAGCAAACAAGCGGTTGGGATTGGCGTTGGAAGAGTCGGAAATCGATTACCTGGCAGAGGCTTACGGTCCCAACGGTGCTATCGCCCGCGACCCTACCGATGTCGAACTGTTCATGTTTGCTCAGGTCAACTCGGAACACTGTCGCCACAAGCAGTTCAACGCCGCGTGGGTAATTGATGGACAAGAAATGCCGAACAGTCTTTTCGCTATGATCCGGAACACCCACAAGAAACACCCAGACCACACCGTCAGTGCCTACAGTGACAACGCAGCCGTGCTGGAAGGCTCCGATGCCGCATGGTGGGCACCCGATTCCTTCACCGGGGAATGGAATCATACCAAGGAGCTGGTTCACTTCTTGGCCAAGGTTGAAACCCACAACCACCCTACAGCAGTCTCTCCCTACCCTGGTGCCGCCACCGGTTCCGGTGGAGAGATCCGTGATGAAGGTTCAGTTGGACGCGGATCGAAGCCCAAGGCTGGATTGGCTGGCTACTGTGTTTCTGACCTCTTGATTCCTGGCCTGAAGCAGCCTTGGGAACTTGACGTTGGCAAGCCTAACCACATCGCAAGTGCCTTGGACATCATGTTGGAGGCTCCTATCGGAAGCGCTGCCTACAACAATGAGTTTGGACGACCTTGCACTGCTGGGTACTTCCGTACTCTGCTTACTGAGCTTGATATCGGAAACGGTGAGAAGGAGCTTAGAGGCTACCACAAGCCTATTATGCTTGCTGGTGGTGTCGGTACCGTCAGACCTCAGCACGCCATCAAGAAGCCGGATGCTGTCAAGCCTGGTGCTTTCCTCGTTGTCCTGGGTGGTCCTGCCATGCTTATTGGATTGGGTGGTGGTGCTGCGTCTAGTATCACCTCTGGTGAAGGATCCGCAGACTTAGATTTCGCTAGTGTGCAGAGAGGCAACGCCGAAGTCCAGCGGAGAGCTCAGGAAGTCATCAACGCCTGTGTCGCCATGGGACAAAACAACCCCATCAAGTTCATTCACGACGTTGGTGCCGGTGGATTGTCCAACGCCCTTCCTGAACTGATCGACGACTCGGGCCTGGGTGCCACCTTCGAGCTGCGTGAAATTGACAACACCGACAAGAGCATGAGCCCGATGCAGATCTGGTGCTGTGAAGCTCAGGAGCGGTATGTTATGGCCGTTGGCGAGGACAGCATGAACAAGTTCACTGCTATTGCCCAGCGTGAGCGCTGCGGCTTCTCTGTCGTCGGTCGTGGAGGCGGTACTTCTGAGGAAGATCAGAGACTCGTTCTCCTCGACAGAGACTCTCCCGAGTACCCCAAGCCCATTGACTTACCTTTGTCTGTCCTCTTTGGTAAGCCACCAAAGATGACCAGGGTTGTGGACTCCCGTAAATTGCAGCTGCCTGCCATTGATGCCAGCCTTACCACATACTTGCCTTCGTTGGCCGGGAACAGCGGAGAACTCCTTGGCGAGGCCGTCAACAGAGTCCTATCTCTTCCTGCAGTCGGCTCCAAGTCCTTTTTGATCACCATTGGCGACAGAACTGTTGGTGGTCTTACTGCCCGTGACCAGATGGTTGGTAGGTGGCAGACTCCTGTTTCTGATGTCTCCGTCACTGCCACCTCGCTGCTTCCGGGCATGAAGACCGGTGAGGCGATGGCCATGGGTGAGAGACCGAACCTGGCTCTCATTTCCGGCGGTGCCTCCGCTCGGATGGCTGTTGCTGAGTCGCTCATGAACATTGCTGCTTCCGACTTGGTCAACCGTCTGAGCCAAGTCAAGCTGTCCGCCAACTGGATGTCGGCCAGCAGCCACCCTGGCGAGGGTGCCGCAATCTACGAGGCCGCGGAGGCCATCGGTATGGACCTCTGCCCCAAGCTTGGTATCAGCATTCCGGTTGGAAAGGACTCGATGTCCATGAAGATGAAGTGGAAGGACGAGGCCTCCAAGGAAGCCAAGGAAGTCACGGCCCCTATGTCCCTTGTTGTCTCCGCCTTCGCACCTGTTGGTGACATCACCAAGACATGGACTCCCGCTCTCCAGCGTGTTGAGGATGTTGGCGAGAGTGTTCTCATGTTCGTTGATCTCTCGTTCGGCCGCAAGACTCTGGGCGGTTCCGCGCTCGCTCAGGTCTTCAACCAGGTTGGTGACGAGTGCCCTGACGTTCGCAACGTCGATATCTTCAGAGACTTCTTCGATGCTACGCAGACGATGCAGGAGGCTGGCATTATCTTGGCCTACCACGACCGATCCGATGGTGGTCTGTTCACCACCCTCGCAGAAATGATGTTCGCTGGTCGCTGCGGTGTCGAGGTCATGCTGGACAACATCTGCCCTACCACCGACAGCCGCAAGGTTGTCGAGACCCTCTTCACTGAGGAACTGGGAGCCGTGTTCCAGGTCCGTAAGAAGCACGAGATGCAGTTCCGCTCCTGCTTCGCCACCTGCGGCCCGCCTGGCGGTCTCATCCACAAGATTGGACGTGTCTCCGAGAAGTCCAAGCAAAACCTCGCCATCTACAAGGGCGCCACTTTGATCTACCGCAACAGCCGCGCGAATCTCCAGCAGACCTGGGCCACCACCTCCCACCACATGCAGAAGATCCGTGACAACGCCGCCTGCGCCGACCAGGAGTTCACCAACATCCTCGACGATGCCGACCCGGGTCTCTCCTGGAAGCCCACCTTCGACCCCAAGGACCGCGCCATGCCCGTCCTCGCCAGCCTCTCCCAGTGGTCCCCCTTCAGCAGCAAGCCCCGCGTCGCCATCCTCCGTGAACAAGGTGTCAACAGCCAGGCCGAAATGGCCTTCGCCTTCAACGTGGCCGGCTTCTCCGCCGTCGACGTGCACATGACCGATATCATTTCCGGCCGCGTCTCCCTTTCCACCTTCGCCGGTCTCGCCGCCTGCGGTGGCTTCTCCTACGGCGACGTCCTGGGCGCTGGTCAAGGCTGGGCCAAGTCCGTCCTCCTGCACGACAACACCCGCAAGGAATTCCAATCCTTCTTCGAACGTCCCGACACCTTCGCCCTGGGCGTCTGCAACGGCTGCCAGTTCCTCTCGCGCCTGAAGGAACTCATCCCCGGCGCAGCCAACTGGCCCAGCTTCGAGCGCAACGCCTCCGAACAATACGAAGGCCGTGTCGCCATGGTCCGCGTCTCCGATCCCGACCAGTCGAACCCCAGCGTCTTCTTCCATGGCATGAACGGCTCCGCGCTCCCCATCGCCGTTGCTCACGGTGAGGGCCGTGCTTCGTTCGCGCCGTCTAGCTCAACTACCGCTGAATCCTTCGTCCGCGATGGCCTCGCTCCCGTGCAGTTCGTTGACAACGCCACCCTCAAGCCTACCATGAAGTACCCCTACAACCCCAACGGTAGCCCCGAGGGTATTGCTGGTGTGCGCACGCCTAACGGCCGTGTATTGGCTATCATGCCTCACCCCGAACGGACTGTCATGAACGGTATTGCGTCGTACTTGCCGGATGAGGCGAAGGAGTGGGGAGAGATTGGTCCTTGGGGTCGTGTGTTCTTCAGTGCAAGGAGATGGGTTGGTTAGATTAGGTGATGGTGAAAAGTTGAGGGTAGTTTTTTCTTTTTCTTTTTCTTATTCTACGGTTGTTTTCTTGGATCTATTTCATTTCTTCTTTGCCATTTGCGTTGTCTATATTTTGTACCTTTTTCTTGGATGGGCTGGAAGTGAAAAACTAAACTGAATGTCTTATGGTTTATGCATCATGTCTTTTATGCTAGTCAATATACTATGATTTCAATTAAACATCTTATCATTAAATCCTACCCGTAAAGTGTCTCGACTTGCAACTTTTTAGATCCCATGGACATTAACAATCATGAATAGCCACTCTCATATCCCAGACGCCCCGAAACATACATAACCATTGAACTCCTAGCCACACCAGCTAAAATGCTTCACGTTCCTTCCTCCACTCCAACTTCTCCGCCAATATCTCCCAACTAGGCTGTCCATCAACACGTCCCACGCTCTTCAACCCAGCCGTGAGGAAACCAACAGACCGGTCAAATTCATTCTTCAGAGATCGGATCTGTTGCGGATATGATGTGTCCTGCGGTGGCATGGTGCGTGTTGTATTGCCTTGGTCGAACTCGTCATCATCGTCAGAGTCGGAGTCGGAGTTGCTTTGGTCCTCGTGTTGTTTCCGGGAAGGCTTGTTTCTCCGCGATTGGTCGAGTTGATTATCACCGTAGTACACCGCTTGCAAATCCGCGAAGTGAACGCAGAGATCTAAAGTGTTGATAATCGCTTCATGCAGCGGGACGAGGTTCCTCGATAGCAAGCACTGGTCCTCCATTGACGAGATATAAGCACGATGCACAGCAATCATAGCATCAATATCCTTCGACGAAGAGAGTTCCTTCCGCATTGCGTTCGTCGTAGTCGATAGAACCACGTCAACGATATGGCCGTAAAGCGTATTCAGGAACCAGAGCATGCTGTGTCGGACGGCGTAGCCTAGCACGTTACGCGTTCTATCGGGGTTCTTTTCGGTAGAATTACTGCTGTATTGGAGGCGTTGTTTCATGATCACGTATTGAGCTCTGCGAATTTGCATGAGGAACGTGGAGATGCGCTGGTATGTGGAGATGGCGTCTTTTGTGATGATGTTGGCTACCGGCCAGGGGAGGATATAGTCGTATGAGAGCACGTTTAGCATCTTCACGGATTTGTTTTGGATGTCAGGGTCTTGTGATGAGACTTTGGAAGATCGGACTATGACTCTGGACGGGTCGATCAGGGGTAAAGCGCTGAATGCGTGCTGGGCCAGTTCTGTGAGTAAGAAGCGGTCATTCCAGGCGCTTTTTCCTCGATCGATCGATTCGAAGATTTTATTGTCGATGTTCCCTGTCACGCTCACGTCTTTGCAGAGGTAGATGTAATCCAGAGCTTGGAGAGACGTCCATAATCCACATTGTTGGTCGAGTGCTGCTTGCAACCAGTCTGAGGTGACGGAGTGGTTTGCGTCGATGAGTTTCTCGAATGCGGATTCCAGCTGCACGGAAAATGGCAGGGCAAATGACGATGAGGAAAGGTGAGGGTATAGATCTTCAAATGTTAGTGTACTTTTGCTTAGACGGTCTATGTCTGTTGGAATGGTCTCTAGATGACGCAGAAAGACCATGCTTTTGCCGGTGGTGAAGATCTTGCGAGCAACTTGGTGGAGGAATTTGGGAGCATTCGGTAGCCTAGAAGCTTCATCCAGCGTATACCAATCGTGCCAGAGGGTTCGTAGGTCGCGATATTTGTGGTCCTCAAGGATAAAGAAGGTTCCTTCCACAGAATCTAGCTGTCCCGTTTCCATCCAGAGCCAGATGGGACGTATATAAGATTTGAAGCAGAAGAAGAATAATTCCGCAAGTGATTGGAATTCATTATCATCGCCAGCGGCCTGTGTCATGCATACCAGGTCGTACAGTAAATCAAGGCACCGTACGGAATATGTCTGTACATCATGGCTGATGGTGGATACAAGACCCGCTAGGCTCAAAAGAACCCTTGACTCGCGTCTGACAACTTCCAGCAGCTCTAGTAAGCTTACCGCGACCGTTGACGTCGGTTTTAGATACTGCGCCTGGGCCTTTGACAGGAAAGCGTCAAACTTTCGTAAAAGGTCTTCGATGCCCCGAACGAAACTCTGGACGTAGGCGATAGTCTGAGGGACGGTGATGAATCTCCTCAATGTATCAACCTGAGCTCCTATGGCGCTAAACGACCGTAATAAATACGACAGTGCTTCGTTCGAGGAATGCGCAAGCGCATATGTGCGATCTACCTCGATACTGTCGCCGGAACGCCAGAAGAGAGACGTGGGGAGGCCTTGCAACATGAATATGGTCTCCCTCACGATTTGAAGTTCAGTAATGGGGCGAGAGTGGTTTTCCTTATGAGATAGCGCTGTATTATTTTCGGGCTTCCAGAACTGGACGTCTTTGATGGTGACGAGTACGCCTCCATCTTCCTCTGGTATGAACACTTCATCAGGAATCACATACTCCTCATCCAGTGCTATCGAGTCCTGGGGCAATATGCGGGGAACGGAAATTTCGCTGGACACAGATGAGATATCGTCTTCCGAAGATCCATCACGAAAGTCTACATCTTCCCAGATATCTTCCTCCTCACAGTATGCGGTCCCAGCAGGATCTACTTCGGACCAAGAGAGCGATTCCTCGACTTGTACAGGCTTCTGCGTCACGGTTTGATCCCGTTGTGGTTGTAGAACCGGACGGTCCGAGAGCTGCAGGAATAGAGATAAGATCTCCGGAAACCATGGACTCCGGTAGTTATCCAACTCGACCAGAGACGACCGCAGGTCCGTCGCCAGCTCGTCTCTGTTCAGGACTTGGAATTTCTCCTGTAGTCCTTCCAGCTGTTTCGCAACTGCAAACTGGTCCGTCCGCCCATACTGACTAGCTTTGAACGTTTCCTCGATACGGCGTTTAAGATTCTTAGAGCGCGATGTATTCTACAAAAGGTTAGCCGCGCCAGGTCTAGAAAACAGCGACAAATAGAAGTGCCTTTTTGTCCGGGAATTTTGTGACTGCCGCGATTAGCTGGTCCGTCAATGCGCTAATGTTGGCTGCGTGTGCCATGGTGAATATGCACTGTTATCAGTGCACATAACACCCATTCCTGCAATATATAACCAGCTTGTCGATAGTAGAATGACTTGTAGTAGTCGTCTTAGTGACGCGGTCTGGATGCACGGGCGGTGGGTTGACGTGTTGTTTCTGCCGGCGCTAGTCCCCAATCGGCAAAGGCATTAAATAAGGCCGCCTCTCCTTGTGGCGGCTCCTGAGGCTACAGTAGTTGGATGCCTATTCCTCACACTCCTTTTTTTGTCTGTCCACAATCGCAGTCAAGATGGCTGTAGCAAGACCCATTCGCATGCTGGGCGCAGCGTCCATTGTGCTGTGTCTCTTCCTTATCTTCCAACTTAAAAAGGGCCCAACTCCTCTGGTTGGCCAGGGGAGGTCATACAATGGCATGAAGTCGGATCCTCTCTTAGAACGTGCGTCGAGTTTTCTTTCCTCCTTCAGGCTGCCTTATGATCCTTGGCTCGGTATGATACTAACGGAATTATTCTACCAGCGACTGGAGAGCCCGAAGGTCAGTTATGGCATGTGGGCGACGGCGACTACTCCCCCAACAGCGCCGACTCTGCCCGCACCAACGCCGCGCTCATTTCCCTCGTACGAAACGAAGAACTCGATGATTTGATTCCGACAATTCGCGACCTGGAACGGACCTGGAACGGCAAGTTCAATTACCCTTGGATCTTCTTCAACGACGTCCCGTTCACGGAGGAGTTCAAGAGGCGGACGAAGGCTGAAACGAAGGCGAAGGTTTACTATGGTACGGTCCAGAGACATACACAAGCGAGGGAATAATATTCTAACGCCGCGTTCAGAGGAAATCCCCAAGGACCACTGGTCGGTTCCCGATTGGATCGATATGGACCTTTTCTACGAATCTGCGGAGATGCTGAAGGAGAAGGGCATCCAATACAGTGACAAGATGTCCTACCACTTGATGTGCCGCTGGAACAGTGGCATGTTTTACAAGCACCCGATCCTCAAGGACTACCGCTACTACTGGCGTGTGGAGCCTAAGGTCCAGTACTTCTGCGATGTCGACTATGATGTTTTCCGGTACATGGAGGACCGCAACACCACATACGGTTTCACCATCAACTTGTTCGATGCGCCGCAAAGTATCCCTAAGCTCTGGCCGGAGACCAAGAAGTTCATTGCCGCGAACCCCTCCTACGTCGCCGATAACAACATGATGGAATGGTTGACGGATGACCAGCTGCGGCCTGACCACACCAAGGATGCTAATGGTTACTCCACCTGCCACTTCTGGTCGAACTTTGAAATCGGTGACTTGGATTTCTTCCGGAGTGACAAGTACGAGGCGTACTTCCAGCACCTGGACCGCGCTGGTGGATTCTTCTACGAGAGATGGGGTGATGCGCCGGTTCACTCGATTGCTCTGGGTCTGTTTGAAGATGCGGCCAAGGTTCACTGGTGAGTTAAGATTCGACCCCAGCCTTCATTAACAATAGTACTGACTCGTCGTGTCTCAGGTTCCGTGACATCGGATACCGCCACACCCCGTACTTCAACTGCCCCAACTCCCCCAAGTGCTCCGGCTGCACTCCCGGCCAGTTCTACGACGGTGAACCCTTCCTGGCCAAGGAAGACTGCCGGCCAAACTACTTCAAATATGTTGGAACGCATTAAAAGCCGTCGAGACATTCGTCTTTCCCTCCGAACACAACACAACACCTTAATCACAATGGCTGGACACCTCCCCCCCCCCCCAGCTTCTCTGATCCGATCTGACATGAATATATTCGAATTTTCTTATCTCAGCATTGCGATGCGGATATCAGTGTCATGACCAACTATACCCAGCGTGTATGAGAATAACCTATTCTGTTGGAAGCTATAGGAACATAGGCGGCGTTTGGGACGTGGATGGGCTTTTTCTTTTTTCTATTCTGTTCTCATGTTAGTTCCGTTCTAGCTACTATTGGTATATCAAATTGTATTTTCGGATCAGTGGATTGTCTTGTTATGTATCTAGCTTTTTATGGTGTGTTACTGTTGAATGTCCACATTTCAAATCCAACTACCCCTGGGGGTATTACATTCAGTCATTTGATATGTTAACCGGGTACTCGAAATCGATCGTCTAGGCAGCATACAAAGTACAAGTAAATGTCATTCAGATCTCTAGAAAAGTACAGGTATAGAAGATCAAGAAAAGAAAAAAACCACATCTGCATCACTCATTTTTCATCTCCCCTATCGAAGCAGGAACACCTGCTCTAGAAGGGAAGAACGCCACAACCAATCGGATAACATAAACAAAAGGAGTAAAGAAACAAGAATGGGGGACCCTAACTCCACCCAACTGTATTTCTAGAGTATGTATACAGCTTTCCTATCTTCATAGATATGACGATAATCGGAACATTTGAGGAAAGATTTCCGGGGTTCTAAATAGAATAAAGGGAAGTGGGATGTGGTATGATATGAAGCGAGAGAACATGCACATGTTTACTGCTCGCTGGGGTAGAGCTCCTCCCGGAGAGCAACGCCGAGCTCCTGGCGGAGGGTGTCGAGGGCCTGGAGGTATTGCTCGTACTGCTCCTGGTTCTCGACCTTGGCCTTGACGCCTGTTTCAGAAATATGGTGAGTATTATTCAACGACGAGTATTTTGCTAGGGAGGGGAGGTAGAAGACGCACCCTCGAAGACGCGAACGGCGGTGGGGAAGTCATTGACGCGGCGGGCAGCCTTCAGGGCAGAAGTGAGGACCTCAACGGAGGGGACAAGGTCGTAGGCGAAGCAGTTGTTGAGGTTACGCTAGAGGCAGGGAAAGACTGTATTAGCCATATGACTCGTTCCAGATGTGTCTTAGTGACAGGCCACTGGCAAGGATGTCGAATTTTGACCACACGATCTGACATAAAACGAACCATGTGTTCCCGTATGTGCGAGTGAACGGTTCAGCTTACCTGGAGCTCGAAGACATCCTGGACACCGTCGAATTCCTTCTCGAATCTATCATTGAGCAGTCAATGCCATGATCCTGGTACGATATCTTCCCCCCCAGAACAGAAGTATTTATAGCCAAGCGGAGAGAAGGGAGTTGCGGAAATCATTTGCGATTTGCTTTCACTCCCGATAACTCCCGCAAAGCAAACCCCCTCCCTCACTCAATGGCTCACTCAAAAAGTGACTGCATACCTGGCAGAGAACTCCTCATATGTCTCGTCATCGTGATGACCGGAGCGGCGAATCGAGGTGGTGCTGAAGCCGGGGCGGTTGATAGCCAGAGCCACGGGGGTCTGCACCCGGGACGCAGACCGGGGCAATTGGGAAGCTCTGGCGAAGCTGGAGGGGCGGACGGCGCGCGTCGCAAGACGGAAGAAGGAAGTCGAGGCCATTGCGAGAGTTGGTTAGGTCAGGACGAATTGGGGCGTGCTGGGGCGGACGGCGGGGGGAAGGGAAATGGCAGGACGGGGAGCAAAGACCGTTTTGGCGAGGTTGAGGTCAGAGAGGGAACAACCGACTGCGCTAGGTTTTTGCGGATGGTGTGAGGTTGTTGGTGCCTTGGTGCCTCAGGATGCCATGCTTGCGGCTCCCGTGGATGCCCGAACTAGTGGTGCCTGAGGCGCTCACGGTGTCATGATTTCTATTTGTGCGCTGTGATTGGTTGGGTCATAGATTGATTGAGCTGAACTCTGATTGGCTGAGACAGCCATCATAAACAAAAGTATCAGAGGTATCAACCATGCTAATGTAATGAAAAGTGAGGCAATCCATGTTGTTCAATAATATTAGCATTGCGAGGTGTAGCAGCCAAGTACCGAGGTTCGTCTCGATCGAGCCTCTCGGCATATTCTACGCTATGTCCAGCCCCGAGCCACGAGCCAGAGGTCCGTGTACAAATTTTGGGCCATTAAACGGTCGATAATCATTGGGGCTAGGTCTGTTCTAGTCTGAAATAATTTGTTGAGCACTCGGAGGCTCAGAAATCCACCGTCAATTGCGAGTTTTGATAACCGCAGAAATATATATAGGTTCGCTGCAACCACTCGGGTTGTACCACACTCAATTAAACGACATAGGTCTCTACAATCTACTTATGACTCTCTTAAAGTACGGTTTGCACCCTCGCACAGCTTCGTAAGAAACTTTATAATGCGTGAGATGCAACGTACGGGGTGGCACATTGAACCAGCAAATCGGCGAGGTAGATCATAATCCCCCTCGTGCACACGGTGAACCATCCCCAGATCAGCATCATTCGGGGAGTGGAACTGAATGCACCAGTGTTAGAGCAGTTCACTAGGTATTGAGTATAATCGCCTCAGACGGCAACCATCGGCAGTCGAAAAATGTCGTCGGCCTGTTTTCTGGAAATCCCGGGGACTTTTCGGGAAATAGAACCCTGAGTTCCCCAATATTGTACCGAGACTGCGTTTATTAGCTTCCAATAAACCTAATAGGGCTAGGATCTGTCCCCAACAATGTTTCACGTTGGCCGATTGGGACAATGTAACTGAGCGCAAGACCCCAAAAACGAGATTGATTGGCTCCGGTCAGCCAGACTCAGAAAGCAGTATCATTGACAGGACCGAATGAATCGCAAAAAGTAGATGTTGTTGTATCAAGATGAGGGCGATCTGAGACTGAAATTTGGTAAGCTTCAATTTGCGGTGCATGTGAAAATTACCCCATATTGTAGTTTGCTGTAGGATTTTGTTGCACAACAGCAATGACGGTGTACTATGTATGCCATTGACACTGGGGTACATTGAAGAGAGGAGGAGAGGCATAGAGAGTAAAGTACTCATCTGTATAGAATAGTGCACTGTACAAGACTGGATGCAACCGGAAGCCCGGAATAGCACATGATCCCCCCGAGTCCGAAAGAGGAATAGTGTCATCTGCCCCTTTTGCGGCGTCCGGCACTAGACCCCTTTTGGATGGTCAGACTGTCCTCTCCAAAAACGACACGCAGAGAATAAGAAGAAAGAAATATTTCGACTTTCTCGTCGGTCTCTCCTTGTTATTTTTCTTTCTTCTCTTTCTCTCTTCTCTTCTCTTCTCTCTCTATCGCGTTTTCCCTTCCATTCCTTCTTTTATCTTCGTTTCTTGCTGCTTCTCGAAGCGTTCCCTTCCCTTCTTCCCCTTCCTCCCCTGCCCGCGTTTGCCGGGGACTTCCAGCTGTCGCGTTTTTCTGTTTGCCTGAATTCGCACCGGTAAAGGGTCAATTCGGCTTCACAATGGCGCTCGATTTCCTGCAGGACTATCGTCCGACGATTGATCGGCCGTTTGGCATTCAGCTATGGCCCATCTTCGACAAGGCGTTCGAGTATGTCATGGGCTATCCCGCGAGCCAGTTCGAGTTCGTCCGCGGCGAGACCCCCTTCTCGACCATTGAATCGACCAGTGTCATGCTCGTTGCCTACTATATCATTATCTTCGGAGGTCGCGAAATCATGAAGAGCCGTCCGGCGCTCAAGCTCAACACGCTGTTCATGATCCACAACCTCTACCTGACCCTGATCAGCGGAACTTTGTTGGCTTTGTTCATTGAACAGCTGTTGCCCACGATCTGGAGAAACGGTGTCTTCTACGCTATCTGTGATTACAATGGTGGTTGGACTCAGCCCCTCATCATCATTTACTATGTAAGGGATACCACCGATTTGATCGAGAATCCGGAATGAAGCTAACGTGAAGCTAGCTCAACTACCTGACCAAATACCTCGAATTGATCGACACGGTTTTCCTGTTCCTCAAGAAGAAGCCTCTGACCTTCCTCCACACCTACCACCACGGAGCTACCGCCCTTCTGTGCTACACTCAGCTTATTGGATTGACTGCGGTGCAATGGGTCCCCATCACTATCAACCTTCTCGTCCACGTCGTGATGTACTGGTACTACTTCCAGAGTGCTCGTGGCGTCCGCATCTGGTGGAAGGAATGGATCACCCGTCTGCAGATCCTGCAGTTCGTCATTGACCTTGGTGAGTAGCCGTGATGCGACCTGACGTTGAGAATTTCGCTAATCAGAACCCGCAGGCTTCATCTACTTCGCTTCCTACACCTACTTCACGAGCACCTACTTCCCCTGGATGCCCAACGCCGGCCAGTGCGCCGGTGAGGAATTCGCTGCTTTCGCCGGAATGATCATCATCACTTCCTACCTCGTCCTGTTCGTCTCGTTCTACATTGCCACCTACAACAAGACTTCTAAGGCTGGTCGCCCTCGCCGCAACACTGGCCGACAGTCTCTGATTGACATGAGGAACGCTGAGATCCCCGCTGTCGGTGATAAGAACGCGACGACCACCGGCCGGTCGAACGGTCCCGTCACCCGCTCTCGCAAGGCATAAACGCCACGGAGTGGGTAGAACGTTGGCTCGTGTGGCTCACCTTACCCAGTCACACCTCTTGGCAGGAATAGTGACAGGAGCACAGCATAATCCTAATCTAAACGTTCCCCGAGGCCATCTGCTACTCTGTCGGTGGCCCTCGGAAGCTTTGCTCAAAGGGTGCGAAGACCACGAAGAGCACCACTTCTTTTTCTTTCTTCACTTCGGTTTCTCTTCTGGTGACTACATATTTTATATTGTTTAATGAACGAACCTTACGATACTGGTCGCTTTCTGTCTCGCGACCAGGGCATGCACGGCGCTATTGTGACAGTGAGGATAAACGCTTTGGTGGAAGATGGTGGTGATCTTTTTTACCTTCTTTTAGGAAGGCTGTTCGAGTCGACGGCTTCCTAGCCTGTATTTTTTTTTTTTTTTTTTTTTTTTTTTTTTTTTTTTTTTTTTTTTTTTTTCTTCTTTGTTTTTTTTTTCGGGCTGCTGGCAGCGGTCCTTTTGCTTTT